ATGTCACCTTTCAGTTTTAATTTCACTTTACAAAATTCGACAACCGTCATTCAGGACTGATTTTTCGCAGGCAACCCTATACCACCGTGTTCATAATGAAATAATCTTTATTTTCATTTATATTTGATTAAATTATCAGACCGATGCAAAATGCTCTATCAATTTACCTGTTTATACCTGGCAACCCGAGAGTTATGACTGGAAAAGAATAGGCAACCTAACGTTTGCATATTCTATGGGCTTCATACTTTCGATTGGTATGGAGTTTGTTTAATAATCAAACCGATGAAATATTTAAAAATAAAACTTTTTTTAATGATTAATTAATCATATCCTGGACTGAAATTTATTAGGCAACCCTTAAGCAATATAATTATTGACATGTTAAATTGAATATAAAATATGTTTCATCAAATAAGCATCTCGGTGAAGGTCGTTGTATAGCGGGATCTTATACTACAATTATTTATTTAATTAGTGGAACAATTTATCTAATGACGCAAATTACAATTAGTTTTCTAACAATGACTCGACACTTACTATGCGGGCTGGATTTATTGGTTTGTGGAATTTACTTAGAAATAACACAATGTGAAATTAGTTCTAGGTACTGTTCCGGCGTTTTCATCAAATTTATCCTTCTATGAATTCAGTAATTCAGGAACTACATGATTATACATAGTTTAAAAATGTTATTTTAAATTACAAAATTGGGCGCTTTAATTTGAAACAAAAAGAAAGAAGGAGTTTCTTTATTCCAGTTACAACACACATGTGTCCAGATGTTTGTCATGATCTTTGTATGAATTATCTTGGAAAGTTACTTATTTTATACAAATCGCAAATATAGCGCTCATTATAAAAACATAGTATGTATCGCTACAAAAGCCTTGAACAACTTTTCACACAGTTATTAACGGGACTATTCCCACCTTTCGTTCTCACAGCTGCAACTCCTGTGTAGCCAGGATCTCAGCTGACCGCCAATAAAACCCAACCAGTGAAGATCAAGTTTGTCCCGGGGAAAAGTTGTCATTTGATCCGCAACGAAATTAATCAGAAGAACATAGGAGGAGTTCGAAGTTAAGGTTCGACTGCCCTAGATAAAAATAACAAAATGTTTGCCACTGACCTTCCGCATCTTCACAAACATCTTGACATGTGTCTGTGGACTTTGTGACCAGCATAAAGTAACTTTTATATCAGCACATTCACACGGTTTTCAATTTGTCACACAAAGTCTCTAATGCGAGGCGTCTCGCGTGAGAAATACGAACATGTGCATTTTCCTAAGAGAAAAGTAAGTAAGCCTATTGTGTGTAGGCTAAGGAAAAGTACTGCTTTCTGGTACAAAATATACAATATGTACGAGTATATCTAGAATCAGGAACAGCTTTTTAACTTGTTATACGAGTATACTTACGCTCGTGTTCACAAACATTACTATGAGGTCTCACAGTGCGCGTGGACGCACAGGGTGGCAACCAATCACAGAGCTCTGTTCAACGCTGTGCGTTCGATTTGCTGCTTCACTTAAGCAAGCATCGTTTGTCAATACGGGTGTTACTTTATTTACAACAGGTTTTAGATACCTATTCCCAAATAATCCCTAGAAATAATTCGTAAAAGGGAATATTTTAAATGATGTTCCAATAACTGGTTCATTTTCATTTGCTGTTTTAATAAAATAAAAAACAGAAAATACAACGTCAATTGACAATTTATTCATAGCCCGATCATAGACAGATCATTGGTGAATAATTTTAACAATTTATTTTTCAGCACGAAATCTAGAAACATTTCATTTTAAAAGTTGAATTAAAAATCATTATAATGTCAAATACTAATCTACCTAGTTTACAATATTTAGATCTCAGGTTTTTGAATTCAATTGCAAGCTTTCTCACTTTGAACAGATACAATTAATTGTCTAAAACCACTATCCTGGTATTCCGCTTGGCTAATAAAGTAGCATGGCGCTGTGACCCTCTGTCCAGTGGTTACCATAGCAACAGTCCAGTTGTGGTCAGTATTGCAGCATGAATATTTCTTAGGTATATAAATCCTTAGTCCAATTAATGGACACTGATTTAAGATAATATCTATACGAATAATAATAAAGCGGGAGTTTTTTTTGTTTGCTTGAACGCGCTAATTTCAGGAACTACTGGTTCGATTTAAAAAATATTTTGTGTTGGATAGCTCATTTATCGACGACTAGCTTTTGTTTTTGTCTGTCACAGAAAAACTTTATCGCGGCGTCCCTGTTTCAGAAACCGGGATAAAAACTATCCTATGTCCTTTCCCGGGACTCAAACTATATCTATGCCAAACATCCAAATCGGTTCAATGGTTTAGGCGTAAAAGAGAGACAGACAGACAGACAGACAGACAGACAGACAGACAGACAGACAGACAGACAGACCGACAGACAGACAGAGTTACTTTCGCATTTATAATATTAGTATAAATCTATAGTATGAATTTAAAGAAAAATGTTATTAGTTAAAACTATTTTCACGCATTCGAAGTCGCGGGCACAGGAAAAAATAATAAATATGTACTTACCTAATTAGCTTATAATCTTTTTCCTGAAAAACTATTTTACTGCACAAAAAATATTTTCTCGTGCTTAGTTCGTAATGGTTATTTCCTGCTAAAATTGATATTTCGTAGAATATTTTGTGACTGTATAAAATGGAAACATTTAGGCAAAATGATTTCATAGGTCGTGGGGAATATTTCACTGTAGTTCACACAATGCCGGCGGTTTCAAAGATATATGGCGACGTAAATCAGAGAGCCCACCAGCCATCCATTGATGCGCCGTACTAACCATGGCTGTTTACCCGCTAACCACTTCGTATAGTGATGGGACGGATATCCGTATCCGCGGATATCTAAGGGTGCAAAAATACTTAATGGTAGTTGCAGTGGTAGGGCTAAATGTAATTCTTAGCTTATTTATTTTGATTATTTGACGCTTTTACACGTCCCAGTATTATTTTAACTCTACCAATGGGCCAGTGCTGATAAGAAGCAGCGCAAGAAGTTAGAAAAACAGTTTAAAACTTTTATGGGCCTTGCCTGAAATAAATATTATTATGTAATTTCTATTTTTTTTTTTTATTTTTAAAACAGCCGAGATTCTTATGTATATTTCATCCACGGATAAGTCGGATATATACGTAATTATTTTATGTATAATATCCGCGGGGGTTGGTTTTGGTATCCGCACTATCCGTGGATTCATTTTTGATGATCTGATGCATCACTAGTACTAACGTCATGCTAGCATGCTAAACAAATATGGCTTAAAGCTAAGCTGTTGGATAAAGTAGTACTGGACTAAATATGAAGACTTAACCATAGGATATGTTACGGTATTATGTAGATAAGTATTGATATTTTGTCATTGTTTCAGACTGACACTTTGATTTTTAAGGAAATTAAAAATGATCCATTTTTATGGAAGAAAAGAAAAGCGCCCTCTAAGAAAATGGACTATAGATATCGGACTTGTAATATGAACAATGAAAATGGGCATTTATTTGTAAAAACATACAACTTATTTATACATAAAAACATTTAGACCAATAAAATAGATACGCACACAAATGTCTGTTAAACCCGAAATACCTAGTAGTTCGGTCCCCGAAGTAGGCCAGTAATTTGAGTTCAGTTCTCGACTTGAGATTGTACACTTGATCTCCTCTGAAGGCTTCTTGGTATACAATTTCTGTAGGTACTCTGAGTACTTGTATCGTTTGGTTGAAGGATACATTTAATACATTTCACCAAAACAATGCACGTATTGAATTTATGGAGTGAGTGGTGCGTGGGTGGATACCTATTTATGTTCAGGGTATTATAATCTTAGGTTACATAATATTACGTGTATTTGTGTTTTGTATACATAATATACCGACCCTCTTAATAAAATTAGCAAGAAGATAAGTAACAGTTAAAGTAAAAGAAAAGTTGAAAAACACCCTTGTTATAGTGAAAAGCTTGCAAATCAAGTTAGTTGAGCAGAACTATTAATTAATATTTGCCAATAACTGACTTCGCGTCACGGTAACTTATGTTGGTAAAACTGTACGTGTAAGAAATTTTTGAAAAATTCATGAATTGTACCTTGCATAGGTATCTTGTCGTACAATGCGTTTTCTGATACGAATACGATTAATAAAAACGCCATGTACAAATAGTAATATAGTAAATTGTAAGATAAATCAATCAAAATAAGTGTAAGGACACTTAATACGTTCAAAATTACAAAATGGTCGAAATCTCTCATAGAAATGCTCCAATTTTATTGAATTATTCAAGTGAAGTTAACGCTAGATTTTTCCACGGAACCCGATACTAAAAGAACGACAAAATAATAAAGGCGAGGTTGGGACATCGCTGGGAAATTGCAGTTGCGATTGTTTGCTAATGCATTCTGGTAAAAGCCACCTCTTTTGAGTGAATAAATAAAATATAATTAAATTATACTACAGCCTGAGGTAAATCAATTATGGAATTAAGAATAGTTTCATAAGGACTTGCTAATTACTTTTTAGACTTTTGAATACAGCATCCAAAAGACACGAATATTATCTATCATCATCCTTCATCATCATCATCATGTCAGCCATGAATGACGTCTACTGCTGAACATAGGTCTCCCCCAATGACTTCCACAATAACTGGGTTCCACGATATTATCTATACTCTTAAATAAAATCGTAACACATTCCTTCCATTAGCAGTCAGGTCACAACACAGTCTTTTTAAACGTATTGACGCTACAGAGTCTGACATTCACCTGTCTGGAGGAGTCTGAATTAGGTATGGTTAGCACTTTGGGCCACAGACTAATTTTGACAGTTGTAGGTACAAATGCGGCAAAACAACCTTAACTATGGTATGCATACCTTGTTAAAATCTAGATTAATAAGCGTCATTTTAAAAGAGTTCATAAACCTGTTCTAACGCCATCTTCCTCTTCCCAGGTCTAGCAGTCCCTTTCGTGGAGCTGACGGTGACCCACGCCTCGGTCCTCACGATCCTGGCTATCAGCTTCGAGCGGTATTACGCAATCTGCGAGCCCTTGAGAGCTGGATACGTCTGCACCAAGACCAGGGCAGCGCTGATATGTGCTCTGGTCTGGTTCTTCGCTGCACTGTTCACCAGGTAAGAATATCATAGAATGATCTGCAGGTACTGCCCTATCTTCGAGCCCTTGGGCTGGTTACGTCTGTATCAAGACCAGGGCTTGAGAGCTGGTAACGTTTGCACCAAGACTAGGGCAGCCCTGATCTGTGATTTGGTCTGGTTTTTCGCTGCACTGTTCACCAGGTAAGGATATTCTTGGAATGATCTGCAGGTACTATGTCACCTAAGAGCCCTTGAGAGCTGGTTAAGTCTGTACCAAGACCAGGGCAGCTCTGACCTAGGCACTGGTCACTAGGTAAGGATATTCTTGGAAATTTAAGCAGCGGAATTCGAGTCGGCAAGCTTTGGGGAGTACCAAGATGCTTATCTTGGTAATGTACGAGGAAAAAAATTATTGGGCGTTTGATTCTTTTCTGCGTTATTCACCAGGTATGATAGCCTATAAAGTCTGGCAGCTCATAAAGTTTAACACAAAGAGTTTTGGACTCCATTGTGACAACACAATGATGGTGATATTTGGCCTATTTGGTATTGGTGAAGAGATTTGTCAAGGAGTGTGTGGCAGTTTTCTAAGTTTTATAATGTCGTGTTTATTTAATAGAAGAAATAAGTTTTGTTTTATGCGATTCGCAATATGCAACAACGTGAAAAAATGCACTGATTGAAAGATTTAAATTTTCGTAGCAATCATAATTAAACGGTGATGGAGGAATTAAAATTAAATATGTATTAAAATAACATTGAAAATGAATTGAATTAAAATATTATGTCATGTCATGCTAAAGCAATTAACTTTAATAACTGTTTGCTGAGCTTAAACATAAAATAATGGTTCGGTTGAACCCCATAACTGACCAAGGGGGTTGCGATGGCTTTGCTAATCTTCTTCATTTTAGGTCTAGAAGAAAGAAGAAGGAGAAAGAAGACACTGAGCAGAAGATGAATCCGGGATACGAAAATGGCGATTTTTACTTCTTTCAAATAAGACTCGTTAAAATTTGCATTGATATGACTTTATTCAAAATGTGGTATTTCTACGGCGTCATTTACATTCTTATGGGGTTTTTATGTTGATCAATATCATACGTTATGGTAGTAGAATTTCTAATGTGGCCAATTCTATAGATGCAGTGCATAACTACCATGATCCTATTCTAAGGATCTAATTTGAAAGTTTATTGGTGTCTAAAGTACCTATAACCAATTTTGATAAGTAGAAAATTATCACAATAATATAATATTATTATAAGATACGGCTACCGTTTCTAGAGGAAGTATTATTAAACCAACTATTGGTGCACTTTTCATTTTGAGGTATTAACCCTTTTCATGGACTTTAATGGAAGATAATGTAGCGAGTTTTTCGGAAAATTTGGTACTGGGTTTCCACTCACAAAAATGCTTTACTTTTTACAATACAACAGGTGTGTACACTGGTACACTTTTAAAGGACTATTATGGAAGATACGATAGTGAATTTTCCAGAAAAGTTCTACTGTATTTTAACTCACAAAATTGTTTGAGACTACTTTATAGTTTCATGTTTTGCTTACATGTCGACATTCAAACCTCCCTTGGTATTCTACATAGACTTCTTAGTACACTACTAGACACGGACAAAATAAAAATTGTCACAACTCACAACACGAGCGTGCGAAATAACTTTAAATAAAATACATAGGTAAACAAGGATAACATTTTATCGGTTTCCTAAACTTTGCTCGTTCGTGTGTTGTTAACATTTATCAAAACTTAGGCTAAGTTGCATCACCTAACTTTAACGGTAGCTATAACAATAACGGGTGCTTTTTGTATGGAGTTTGATAGATTTTTGACGTTTGTCAAAGTTAAAGTAAGATGGTGCCACTTAACCTTAGTGAACAATATTGAAGCGATAATAGCTCAACCCTGTCAAAAGAAAAGAAAGACAGAAGTACAGAAAAGTTCTCGAGTGAAGACGAAAGACGTAGAGTGGGCAGAACTCCCACTAGGTGAACTGACGATCTGATGAAGGTCGCGGGAAGCACCTGGATGCGGGCACCGCAGGATCGGTCGTTGAGGAAATCCTTGAGGGAGGCCTTTGTCCAGCAGTGAACGTTATTTGGCTAAAACGAACGATTAATAGCCTTTAAAAATTCAGAATAGACTGTCTAGTACTGCATAGAAGTCAGTATTCTAAAACCGTCTCGCAAGTCTGAAATAACTCCCAGATAAAATATAAACTTTCCGATTCGGAACATGGAATGTTGATTCTTGCCCCCGTTCTAAGGGCGCTTCGCCCACGCTCATTGAGTATTCACATTTTATGGATTCACTTGCATGATGCGAGATCATATCTGATGACGTGCTTGGTCAGCGGTTCTCAAACTTGAGACTCGTTTCTGAATATTTACTGCCTATACTGAAATAATTTTACTGATACGTAGAAATGTTTTGCAATGCGAAATTGTTAACCAGCTAAAAGTTTACAGTGTTCCCAGATACATTCAAAACGGTACTGTACATTTTATGACAAATAATTTTATTGCATTCTGTTATTTGGATTCGAGAAAATTAAGATTGATTACGTGTTTGTTACGTTGATATTACAGTGAATTATATAGAAAAGCACATGGATAAAATCAATCACGGTGTCACTATATGAATCAAATTCAGGATAAGTAGTATCCCTTGGTTACTAAATTCTTTTTATCATTAAATGTTGCATCTCAAAATAATGTAAGGTAGTTATTTCTATTAATATGCCCTTTTCACTTATACACTTCTACCTCATGTAATATTAATCCAGGGTTTTAGCTGCAATGAGTACGCCCGTGTCTCATTAAATAATAACAACAAAACTATTTCCCAATTCCATCGATAATTTGAGCATCTTTCTTCAAAACCCGCTTTGTTTTATCGTCGAAAGCATAATGACATCGATACAGAAACAGAAACTTCGAGAAAGATCGGATCGCTTGCCGCATTGTTGCAGCACATTTATCGTGGTCGCATGAAAGTGACGGCTCTTGAAATTATTACACAAGTATTTGATGCTTGCAAAGCTGCCTACACATTTTCTTTTTAATGTCCCTCGATTTTGCTATTTTGAGAAAATCTTAATCTAGCCGCAAACGTTGAAAAGCCGAAGAAACGTAAAAAGTTTGCCCCCTCTCCTTCATGAAGATCGGTCAAATTAAAGAGAGATGCAGGTTATGGTGTGAGAGAGCTGATCTTCCCTGCCCTTTTGTCTCTAAGTCTGAGAGTCCTGCACCTGGACATGAGCTCCCCTGGCTTACTTGAAAGTCTTTAAATTTATGTAGACTTCGGACGCAGGTCGGCCGTAGTAAGGACAATCTGTTCAGGTGGGGATTCTTGGATGGCTCAAACTTGTAGTGCAAGTGTGCGTTTGTTCCCCAGTTGACGAAGGTCTCCATAAATTGTAATGATTATTCAATAATAATTTATTTAATCTTGTTTTTTAAGCAAGTTCTAATCTAAGTAAGTGTGTAGGAACCTTTATCGCTGTGGTTGAATGAAACTGACGTTTCTAGAAATTATTTCACAACGTTCAAGTATTTGATGCTTTCAAAGCGCAGTCGAGTCGCAAGTTCACAGCGAAACTAATGAAGAACACGAAGGGTTTGGTAAACTACATTTCTATGTAGTATTAATATTCATTTTAGTTCTAGTTTTAGGAAAACTGTTTTGGTTGTGTTGTTTATTTTATAAATAGATTAGAACCACTCCTATTCTCTAGGATGTCGTAAAGACAACTAAGGGACAAAAATATGCGAGCTGGTCTCTCTATAATCTGTTGGACCAGCAATGTGGGGAGTGTAAACCAATTCCACCATTTACTACGATAACTTCATGGTTATGTGATAAGACGACCTGTTAGACCCCTAGTTCAATTCTCAGTAGAGGCACAATTATTTTCTTGAAGGTTTGTGTTATTTTTTTGATAACGGTTTGATAAATTCCCAATTCACCTAGCAAGCTACCACCATACCAAAGTCTGTGCTCATAACAATGCATTTTTGTATTTAGGTAATTGGATCTAAAACACTGTGACAAACCACAAGGGCGTAGCCTCATCCCTAATTTACAGATGAAACCCACAACAATATGGCTAGCAATTTATTTGCAAAACAACTGTGTCAGTGAACGTTACGTTCTGCATTTTAGTACCTAAGAGTAGGCGCACACCGTTGATTTTTAGTTGGCCGATAGTTGTGCCCGATTTTAAATTGTATGAAGAATCGGCTAAATCGAATCGGCTAAATCGAATCGGCGTAGTATGCGCACTCCCATACATGCCCATACTGATCAACAGCCCGACTAAACTATCGGCCGACGAAAAATCAACGGTGTGCGCCTACTCTAAAAATGTCAGCTTTTGTAGTAATGTGAAAAAGTATATTTGGTACAAATCTTTTTATCATATTAATAAGGTAAATAACATTGTTTGTTTTCCTGATAAAGTAAAATAAAATAAATAAAATAAGGGGGAAGCCTAATTCCTAATTCACAGATGAAACCCACAACAATACGGCTGGCAATAGCCACTTTTATTTGCAAAACAACTGTGACGGAGAACGCTACGTTCTGCATTTTATCGAGTCCCGTCAGAGCCTGCGTTCTCTCTACGCTGAGTTATGGTTCGTCGTAACTTGGGAAATCTCTAGTTTAAGCAATTGTTGAAATTATATTAACAAATACAAGTAAAATACTGCAAAGCAGCCAAAGATATTTGGCTGCTTTGGACTAAGTAATATTGTGACATGTAGTTTCGTGCTTTAACGAATATCTTAGAGGCCAAATTGATGAAAAATCAAAAGAATAAAGGACCTGATCTCAGAGATTTATTTGTATTTTATGTTATTAAGAACAAATAACAGTTATTGTATAACAAAATTACAATTTATGCAGTGTCAGTACTTAATCCCACCAAAAACATTTTCTGTAAAATGTTGCCAAGACGAGTCGTATGGCTCGCAATGTGAAAAATTCTCTCATCTAGAGTCAAGCTTCTAACT